GAAAAGTATATATTTTAATAAACGATAAAAAGAATAAAGTACAGACTCGAGTTATCCCGATCGATTTTATTGAATATGATCTTGGCAAACTTGAGCATACTTTTATCAATGTTTGGGTATGGCATAAGCAGCATTTCTTGACATTGTTCTTCTGTTATACCGTCGCTAGGAACTTAGTTTCGGAATTCTTCTGAAAAATAGTACAGTTTTCTCGTAAATCTCTTTGAACAAAAAAAATTTCACAGAATACATGACAGCACAAAATTTAGTGGATTTAATCATTTGACTAGTTTATTGCGAGATTTTGAGCATCAATTAAGAAAAGACTCTGAACTATTTCTATTGAAATTTCTAAAAAAACTGTTTTCTATTGTTGTCTATATATGTATAATTCAGTCTCTCATTGCATTTTATCTATAAAATAAATATAAACACTGAACGATTACTGTAGAATTATGAATTAAAAAAGGCGTTCCTCTCAATCAATTACAACCTATATTATACTTTATTGAAATTCGATTAAAAGTTCCCATACGAAAATAAAAAGGGCAATCATTTTCTTCATTAATATTGATGCTTTTGGAGAAAAAATTTAAAATTAGAGATGCACAAAAATAGTTTTGAATGTTATTGAGATAAAAAAAAGATGATAATCTAAAATCGAGAAATGATCGATTAACTAACCGTATAAAAAGAGAATTTTCTTTTTGCTCATGTTTGTCGTCAACATCAAACTGTCTATTCGAGTCTGCGTCAGTTCAAGATTGCTGTCAGTTTGTTGCGTTGTTTGAATCTTGAAGGCCATAACATACAATATTTCGAACACACTTTTGTCGGATATTGACTGACAACAATCACAACTATGTTTAATTAATTTAGTCAATGATACGCGTGAATGTCTTTCGTTTTTTTCATTTTTATGTTAGCACCCTTGTCATCTAAGAAAATTATATAAAATGAGAAAAATAACGTCACTTTATATTGGTAAGTAGAAATAAGAAGAAACGATCAACAAATTATTCGAGCTGCGAACTTACACATAATTACACATGTGTTATGTACAGAAAATGACTGACGAGGGAGCATTCTCAACTGTGACATCGCTTTTAAGCTGAACCTATGCGCATTATGTAGACCCTCACGATCTATGAATTCTCTGAAAAAAGTTCATGCTGCTAGCTTATTATTGCCGAGATACAGCGTTTTTACTGTATGTTTAAGAAAAAAAAGCCGTGGTCCCCCTCAGGAACAACGGAAAACTGAATTTCGAATTTCGTCTTGAAACTTTGCATAGATATAGGCCTCAATGAGAATACTTTATTATGAAAGTTTCAGCTCTTTTCGCTGTTCCTATCCTAAGATATAGCTATCGTAAAATTGTTCATATACACCAGCAGATCCGATGTTCTTATCTCAGACTAGGAGCAACCAAAAAATCTGAAACCTTCACAATAAACTATTCTCATTGAGGCTTGTCTACATGCAAAGTTTCAGGTGGAAACTCAAAAGACACTTTTCCTGATGTTCCTGAGGGGGACCACGGCTTTTTCCTTACACATACAGTAAAAATGCTGTATCTCAGCAGTAATAAGCTAGCAGCACGAACTTTTTTCAGGACATTCATAGGTCAATAGGGCCTACATAATGTCCATACGCTCGGCTCAAAAGCGATGTGACAGTTGGGAATATTCCCTCGTGAGTCGACAGTTAGACATCGAATAATATCATCATAGTAAAAACAAAAATATTTTCACCTGACAGAGAATAATAATTTATTTCATTCTATCTTAATGTCATATCATTCATACATATTCAGACAAATACAAATGATAAAAATAAATGAAAAATAGTTTTCATTCGAACATTTTCTTTTATATGATAAGAGTTTTTCGGTTTTATTTTCGATTTTCCATATACATATTCTCAGTTTCTTTATCTTTTGGTAGATCGAAACAGATTTGATCTGTACAGTAGATGAGAGTATATCAATTAATTCCTACTTTAAAAAAATATTATATTGAAAAGATATAAAATATCTCTCTTACTTTGATTTCATGTTCGATTTTTCTATCAAGAAAATTGAATTTCTTATTTCTATCTTCTTCACTATTATACCTCTAGGAATTCGTATGAACTCTCTTAGAATATACGTTTTTGACTCCATAAATTTCATTCTAGTTTTCAGTATAAAGGATTCCTACAAACTATCCTTAGAATGAAAATGAAAAATGATCAATACTTCTGTTAGTCTTTTTGACTTCTGCTTCCGAAGGCAGAAATCGATGAAGAGTTTTTGCTGATAAAAATTCAATTCTACTAGAAGTTCTTCTTAGGGTAGAAAAGAAAACGATTAATTTCTCTCATACTCCTTTTGACTTCTCTTTATATTGGCAGAAATATTTTAACGATTTCCGCATCAGAGATCGGATCAGTTTAGTTCGAAGAAAACGAAAAACTCTTTTATGTCTATTATTAACATTTTACTTTTGATTAATCTTGAACTGAGTCAAAGCTGTTGCATTAGATTAAATAAAAATACTGAGATTACTCCTTTAAAGACACGCTGAAAAATAACTATTTATCATTTAATCAAATATGATAATACTTGTTTTCGCTGTGCAAAACTGTCGATCTTATTTTCTCAAATGAAATGGTCTTGTCTGCATAAATTTTACACAGTTGGCAGCTGCTCACTTGCTTAGTTACTTCAAGCAAAGACGAGAAAGACGATGATAAGGGTCTGGGTGTGGGTGGATGTGGGGTGTGGGGGTGAGTGTGGGTGGATGTGGGGTGTGAGGGTGAGTGTGGGTGTGGGTGTGGGTGTGGGTGTGGGTGGGGGTGGGGGGGGGGGTGGGGGGGGGGGGGGTGGGGGTGTGGGTGTGGGTGTGGGTGTCAGTGTAGGTGGGTGTGGGTGTGGTGTGAGGTGTCACTGTTTGTTCTGATGTGATGGTAGATCAGAAGAACACCCACACCCACACCCACACGCCACACCCAAACCCACACACCCACACCACAAACCCACACCCACCCCCCACCCCCGCCCTCACCCCCCCCCCCAACCCCCACCCCCACACCCACACACCCACATCCACACCCCACCCACGCCCACACACAGCCACACCCACACCCCACCCACGCCCACACCCACGCCCACACCCACCGACACCCATAGGCGTAGACATCGAATAAAAATAAATAAATTTTAATTTCTCACTTTGAGATCATTTAAATAGACGAAATAAAAATAGATACATTTTATTTGAATTTTATTCTTTTACTGATTTAAAAAGTAACTTTGGTTTTTGAACTTTTTGTAGAAATAATGTTGTTAATGTAAAATAATGGAAAGTAATTTGCAAGGTTTTTAAGAAAGATTGTTGATTTTTTAGTTTTTTTTTTAAATGATTTTCTATAAAAATCAATTTGAAATGTTGAAATTGAGAAAATGTAGCTATTTCGGAATATTTAATATTCAGCATTGGAACAATCGATGTTTGGAAATGCTTTAGCATTTTTAAAGTCGATTTTCTAGACAATACAATTTGAAAAATATACAATGTATGAGAGAAACGAAAGAAGCTTATATATGTAGGAGAGAGAGCGAAAAGAAAAATGTTCGCCATCAAAACAGGTAGAGTTCCAATATGTATACGTGTATTCGATAATGCATTACACTATAGAATTTATTTTATGTGGCATAAACGTTAACAGATAACTTCCGTATGATCCTCTTGTCTTTGTTTCTTTGCTTTTCCTCTTTCTTTCTCTCCTTCCGAATCTTTTTCTCATATGTTTCTTTGTAATATTTCATCAAATCTTATATCTTGTTTCCATAGCAACGGGCATATTGTATCTATATAAGAAATAAGCGCATAGGAACAGAGTCATTAAGTTTTTTTTAACTGTCACAATTTATAGAGAAGAAAGCAGTTATGTGCAAAGATCAACATATCTCAGATATTCAGCAAAATTATGTGAGTATTATAAAATAAAACTTTCGATTTGTATTAAATAAAATGATTAATTATCTTTTTGGCTTGAGAAAATCCATTATTAAGAAAAAGAAATTAAAATCTAAGATGAAATTTGTGCTTATAATAGCGTTAGTCGGTCCTTTTCGTTTGATTAAAAGCAAACTAATAGATCATCGATAAAAAAAAAAGATTTTTGTTTTTTTTTCTTATCATTCGTGTTCATTGTCCTCCTCGAGAATGATTACCTATAAGACATTAAAAATAGTAGTTGTATAGTGTATTATGTCGCCATATAGACGTATTATATTCTTTTTTTTATTCAAGAACTTTTTATTCTATTAGTTTTGCTATAATGAAAAGTAATTAATAAAGAAAATTGAGTTTGTGGATAATATTTTTTATTATTTTTTTTACTGATAATATAGAAAATGTTTTTTTTAATCCTTATATTTCTATATGGATAATATAAAAACCAATTTTTATTATGTATTATCTTTATATATTGGCAATATAGAAAATGTTAAGACATTTAGGGACACCTCATGTACTATTGTGCTTGCTGACTGACCATTAGATATTGATATGATGATTCATCATCTATTTGACTTTTTTTAATAGACCTTTACACCAGCACAAGATGAACAACACCAGCACCAACAACTAGAAAAACAACAAATTTTGAATATTATAGAAAAATTAGTCATAACAATGAAACAAAACGATAAAAATCATAATGAATCAAACCAGAAGGTTAGTTTTATTGATTATTAAAATAACAATAATAAATTTTATTTTTTGTAAACCGTGAAGATTTATTCTGAAGATGAAACAAAATTAGTACTTCATGGTCTTCGTCAATATTATGTGAAATTGAATGAATATGAGAAAAATGCAAATTTAATTGATTTACTTAATAAAATAAAATTTAATCAAATGATTATCTTTGTTGAATCAGCACGACATTGTAAAGCATTATCTAAATTATTAACTGAACAAAATATTTCTACTGTTGTAATCCATCGTTGAATGCCTAAAGAAGAACGGTTCGTTATTTATTAACTTAAACAATTTAATAAAAAAAAATAAATATTTTTGCTTTCTATTTAGTTTACAACGTTGTAAAGAATTTAAAGAATTTAAAAAACGTATTCTTGTTGCAACAGATTTAATTGGCTTTCATATGGATTTTGCAGCAGTTAATATTGTATTTAATTATGACATGTCAGAAGATGCTGATACTTATCTTCATCAAGTATATTCGAAGAATTTTTCTTTTTCTTTATTATTAAATATTTAATTTTAGGTTATTGGTGCTGGTCGATTTGGTACAAAAGGTTTAGCAATAACATTTGTTGCAGATGAAAGTGAGACAAAAATTTTGAATGAAGTTGAAAGTCGTTTGGAAGTACAAATTAGTGAAATACCCGATGAAATTGATGTAGCAACACACATCGAAAATCGTTAATTTTCTGGTCTTACTATTTGGTTCAAATGAAACATGTAAATTTTTTCTTTTTTCATCACGATTATTGTCATTATTACATTTTGATTCTTTTTTTCTTTTTCTTTTCTTAACAAACAAGACTTCTGCGTATATAAGTGTGTTGAAGAATATGAATTCTTATAACTCTGCTCATTCAAACACTATGTTTTTCTCTTGTACTTTTTATTTGATGATATACAAGCAAGAAAAACAATAAAATATTCTTAGAAAAACATTTCATTTAACACCAGATAAATCATCTGATACTGATTTATTCCGAGGTTTATATACAAACAAAAAATGAATTTTATGATTTGTATGCTTGCACTCTCTATTTGCCATAATATGATTGAGTAAAAATTGACTCATGTTCTTTCGAAAGAAGTGTCTTACTTAATATTTGCTCATTTGTCTACAGTTCATATTACAAAACTACACACCTATTCCAAATTCTTATTATCAATATCTACATATTGTATTGTGGATTAATTATTAAACAATGCTAAGTCGGTAAGCAAGTTTTCTTTATCTTTATCTTGATTTTTTGTGTGTTTTGCATATATTTTTGTTTGCGCTAAATGTTCTCAATGAAAAGAGTGTCCCGTTCTTCTTTTAGACAATCATCAACATTTACGCATTTGTTATACAAAAACTAATCTTATTTTTTGTAATAACTTCACACAACAGTTATATATGATTCACAAACTTATTTATCATCTATTACCTGGTAAGAATAAATCTTGATTCTTCAATTAGTAGGTTACTATTGAACGATATACTTAAACTTAAAATTCTAAGATTTAAAGTTCAAATAGGAATAATAGAAGAGAAATTTGAGGTGAAAAAAGTTTATGTATATGCTCATTCAATTTAGTAGACACAGAAATTACTCAGAAATTTCTAAAATTTACTCACATATAGAAAACATACTTCTAGTTTCTTTAATCTTTATATGTTTAGATGCAGAATAAAATCCATAACAAATAGTAAATCCTATCCACCAGACATATGAAATTCTTTTAGAAATTCCAGTAATTACAAGGCAATTTCGTAATTTCTCTATTCTTATATATAATTATATAAAACTAAAACCTATACGATTAGAAATTCCTATCTCGAAAAAGTAAAGAGAAATTCTCTCGTCTTATTTTATTTATCCAAATCTATAATTATTTTCTTTATTTTCATAGATCAGCTAAAAATATCTTTATATTTTATCAAGTTTTTATTGAATTTATATGACAATGCGTGTTTATATGTATTCAATTTAAAGAAATTCAATTATGTATTCAAATTGTTAATTCAACGTCGATGAACATCAAACAATAAATCTTTTCTTTTTTTTTTCTATCGTTTTTTTTTGTCTGTCTTTATGGTATTTTGTGTCTTTAAACATAACAAATAATTCATTTAATTTTCTATTTAGAAAACGTTCATCATCATATCGATCAAATAGTGAACGAGATAATAAACATTCATCTAGTCGACATAAACATAGACATGATGGAACATCATCAAAAAAGTATGAAAAATTAAAAAACAATTGCATGACTACTTTTTTTTGTTAGACATTCAAAAAAAAAGTAGGAAATGTCATCGTACATCACGATCAAGATCTCCAATTCGACATCGTTCATCAACAATTGATAAAGAACATAAATCATTA